GGGGGAAGGCCGCCGGGGGTGGGGATCGGGGAAGCCGCCGACAGGAGGAAGAGGAGACAAACTTGAGAAAGAAAGGGCTAAGGGGCAGGGGTCTTTCAGGATCTGGGTGGAGGGCACCGAAAGAGTGAAAGAAAAAAAAAAAAAGAACAACTACAATATATAGTGAGACTCTGACTCAAAATAAGTAAACCGTATGGGCTGGCACACACCTGTAATCTGAGCACTTGAGGGGTGAAGGCAGGAGGATTGGAGTTCAAGGTAACCCTAAAATACAGAGAATGTGAGTGAGGTCAGCTTGGGCTACATGAGACCATCTCTGTAGGGAAAAAGGGCCAGCCAAAGAGACACACGCTGAACCTTTTACCAGTGCTAAAAGAAGCGCACTTTGGTTATAGAATGAGAGCTAGTGAAATTAGAGCTGGCCCTGAAATTAGAGCTGAAAGACTAAAAAGGGCCAGTGAAAGAAACATACTTAGGAGATGGAGAGATGGCTCAGAGGTTAAGAGCACTGACTGCTCTTCCAGGGGTCCTGAGTTCAATTCCCAGCAACCACATGGTGGCTCACAACCATCTAGAATTCAATCTGGTGCCCTCTTTTGGCACATAGGCAGAACACTGTATATGTAATAAATAAATCTTTAAAAAAGACAGGAAGAAAGAAAGAAAGAAAGAAAGAAAGAAAGAAAGAAAGAAAGAAACTTAGGTCCTGAAACCAGAGCCAAATCTGCCCCTGACCAACTAAGCAGAAAACAGACCAATCCCTGAGTAGAAAAACAAACCAATCGCTGAGCATGAGATTTAGCCAATCTGAGCTCAAGGAACTGAAATCTGACCAATTCCCATCCCGAAAATCTTTCCCCTTGAAAAATTCCGCCCCTAAGAAGCCTTATATAAGCCCTGTGCCTATTCAGTTTGCTGCTGCCTTTTCCACCCAGGCAGAGGCAGCCACTCTTCTGGATTCTTCCCTCCCAGTAAATCTCTTGAATGAGGTGTGGGTGCCAACCCTCTTTCGCCAGAGGAGGGATGGAGCCTAGAGTGGAACAAAGCAGAGCAGAGCTGTAACACTTTTGCCAGGGAAACCTTCCCCTAGTACAGCAGAGTTGTTACACTCTAATCTGGGGAAGCCCTCCCCTGCTGGAGCAAGGCTGTAAACTGCTATGCCTACTGTGACCTGTGGTATTCCTTGTTCCTGAGTGCCATAATACTTTTCCATCTGAGTTATAACACTTAGTATTTCTTGGCTCCTGACTGCCAGAATCCCTTTCCATCTGAGCCACAACGCTTACAATCTCAAAAAAAAAAAAAAAAAAAAAAAAAAAAAAAAAAAAAAAAAAAAAAAAAAAAAGTTAACTATAAAATAAGGGAAAATGTTCAGGTGGGGAGGGGTAGAATGTGGAAATAAGAAAAAACAAAACAAAATATGGCAGTGGTGATGCATACCTTTAATCCCAGCACTTGGGAGGCAGAGGCAGGTGGATCTCTGAGTTTGAGGGTAGCTGGTCTACAGAGTGAGTTCCAAGACACAGAGAAATCCTGCTAAGGCAGAACTACTATGAGTTGGGGGGTTAGTCTGGGCCACTTACCAAGAGTCTATCTCAACAAACTTTTTACACAGTTAGTGGGAGTGGCCTGTAATCCAAGCACTCCACTGTCCCAGTGAAAGCAGAAAAATCGTGAGTTTGAGGCCACTGTATCAAACTGTCTCAAAGCAACAAAAGTGCAGAAAAAAATCCAAGCGGACACCTGGGCTCAATCTTGATGAGTTTAGAAAGTGTTTCAGATTTTCAAATGGACAGTAAATATGCTCTGTTTTTTCGGCTGAAGAAACCGTAGGCACCTACTGTGATCTGCACGGGTGAATGAAAACTCGATAAACTGGGCAAGTAGCTGGTTCTCTTCAGGGTTTTTAGCTGCTGCTCAAGGCTTCCGCCCAAGGGTTGTTTCTAGAAAGCAACGTTCCTCCACGTTCCCGGCTCTTTGCTTCCCCCTGCAGGTAAAAATCGGAAGGTGCCCCACTTCCGGGTAATGACGAGAGAAACATCCCCCTCTGGTGGTTGGTGACAACACCGTAGGAAAAAAGCAAAAGTGCTTGGACTGCAGATCTAGATCTAAACTGAGTTAGGCACCTGGCAAGCAAGTGGCTGAGGCTGGAATCAACTGGAGCTGGCCTTATGCAGCGATTCTCAACATGTGGGTTGCGACCCTTTCACAGTGGTCACCTTAGACCATCGGAAAACACAGATATTCACAACAGTAGTAAATTTACAGTAATGAAGTAGCAATGAAAATAATTTTATGACTGGGGATCACCATAACATGAGGTCGCAGGACTAGGAAGGTTGAGAATCACTGCCTTACTGTGGCTGAACCTGTTCTCTTCAGAGTTCATATTGCCCTATTCTCCTTACACAGGGGCCTGGTCTCAGCAGTTCTCTGCTTCCTAAAGTGTATGATCTATGTAGATTTCCAAATTGTCCCCAAGGAACACATTCACACAATGCCAACACAATGCCCACAGTGTTCCATTGTTAACTAGAACAATAAGTTTTTTCATATATATGTATATGTGTGTATGTATATTTGTATATACATGTTAAATGTGTTTACTTCACATGTATGAGCATTTTGCCTATATATAAGTGTACCACATACATGCTTGTAGTCTGCAGAGGTCAAAAAGAGGGCATCTGCTCTTCCAGAACAGTAGTGACATTTATGAGCCACCATGTAAGTGTGGGGAACAGAACCCAGGTCTTCTGCAAGAGCAGTAAGTGCTCTTAACTACTAAGGTAGACATTCCAGACCCATCAAAGTGGGGTGAGGCTATAGCTTAGTGGCAAACACTTGCACAGCAAGTGTTTAACCCAAGGCACTGAAAAAGAAAATCCAAAATAAAACTAAAATACTTAGTAAGGTAATAAGCCAGTATTCCTTTGTGGGGGGCAGGGAGGCAAAGAAAAAGAGCTTTTTTGGTAGTTTTGTCTTTCCAGATAGGGTTTCTCTGTGTAGCCCTATCTGTCCTGGAACACTATTTGCAGACCAGGCTGGCCTTGAACTCACAGAGATCTACCTGCTTCTGCCTCCAGAATGCTGGGATTAAAGGCGTGAACCACCATGGTCTGGTGAAAAAAGGTTTTGAAGAGGGATCTGTCTATGTAGGCCAGGTTGATCTTGAACTCAAAGGCTTCCTATTCCAATCTCCTGAGTGTTGGAATTAAAGAGTGTGCTACCACACTTAGCTGACCACATTAATTTTTATACAAATAGGTTTTTTGTTTGTTTTGTTTTTTTGAGATAGGGTTTCTCTGTGGCTTTGGGGGCTGTTCTAGAACTAGCTCTTGTAGACCAGGCTGGTCTCGAACTCACAGAGATCCACCTGCCTCTGCCTCCCGAGTGCTGGGATTAAAGGCATGTGCCACCAACGCCCGGCTACGAATAGTTTTTAAGAAAAGGTCTTAAAGGCATTAAAGCAGTGGTGGCACACACCTTTAATCTAAGTCCTTGAGATGTATTGGCAACCTGATTTCTGAGTTTGAGGCCATAATGGTCTACAGAGTGAGTTTCAGGACAGCCAGGGCTACATAGAGAAACTCTGTCTCAGAAAAACAAAAACAAAACAAAACAAAACAAATAAACTTGAGGCAGTTTCCTCAGCCTTCCAAGTGCTGAAGCTACAGGTGTGAGCCACTGTGCTTGGGCTATACCAAAATCAAATCAAATTGCTTAAAGAAGAGCAATGAGGAAGCTAGGCAGTGGTGGCGCACACTTTTAATCCCAGCACTCGGAGGAAGAGGCAGGAGGATCTCTGTGAGTTCGAGGCCAGCTTGGTCTCCAGAGCGAGTGCCAGGATAGGCTGCAAAGCTACACAGAGAAACCCTGTCTCGAAAAACCAAAAAAAAAAAAAAAAAAAAAAGACCTTGGCAGGAGCTGGTGTCAACCTAACCCTGGCACTGTGTCTGGTACATGGGAGGGTGGTGAAGAAATGCGGTCCATTCCAGAATGCTGAGTTGCAAAGAGAAAGGTGTTAAGGGACAGTCATGGGAAGCTTTTAGATAAGGAGGAAGAACCAGTATGCCCTCCCTTCTATCCCCAAAGCCTGGCTTCTGTGAGCTGCACTCCTCTGACTGGGAAGAAACTAGTCTGCTAGGTATGTTTTGGGTTGTAGGCAAAAGACAGACAGGATGTAGAGGGTGACACATGACACGTGGGGATCCAAAAGATGAGCATCACTGACCAGTGTTCTTCGTTTCTGAGAGAGCTTGCGTTTCTCAACACCCTTGACTTCTGCAGTCCCTCCTGAAGATTGTGTGCCAGTTCTGCATAGAAAAGAAGCTGTGGTGGGTGACAGAGCCCTTAGAGGGGAGAAATCTCCAACCCAGATCCAAAGGGCATGGCTCCCCTTTCCCTTTTCTTTTTTCGAGACAGGGTCTCTCTATGTAGCTATCCCTGGCTGTTCTGGAATGCTCTCTGTAGACCAGGCTGGCTTCGAACTCACAGAGATCCATCTGCCTCTGCCTCCAGAGCACTATCACTGCCAGCTCCCCCTTCCTTTATAAACTGTATATTATGTGTGTATCTATGCATAAGTCTGAGCATGTGTGGGTATAGGTGCTGACAGAGTCCAGAAGAGGCATTGTGTGGGGTCCTGGCATCTGAGGTTTCAAAAAGACCAGCTTTGAGCAAATCATTTAACCTCCTTAAACTAATTGTCTCTTTATGGACAATTCTTTTTGTTTTGTTTTGTTTTTTTCCGAGGCAGGGTTTCTCTGTATTTCTTTGGAGCCTGTCCTGGCACTCACTCTGTAGACCAGGCTGGCCTCGAACTCACAGAGATCCACCTGCCTCTGCCACCAACACCTGGCGAGAAACAGACAATTCTTACTATGTTTCTCATAGACTGAATTGAGTTGTACAGATGTTAATTATGATAGGAGGATGGGAGAAGAGTAGATTCCAAAGAGGTCTCAAATTTGAAATTCAAGCCTCTTATGAGGGAGCCAGGCTTGCTCAAAGTAGGAAGGCATTCAGAGAAGGTACCTATGGCCAGGCTGGCTCAAGGGGAACAAAGAGAAGAGGTAATTCAATGATCTGTGGGGTAAGGCCTGTGTGTTCTTTGTTTGTTTGTTTTTGTTTTTTGATAAGGTTTCTCTGTGTAGCAGTCCTAGCTGTTCTGGAACTAGTTCTGTAGACCAGGTTGGCCTCAAACTCACAGAGGTTCTCCTGCCTCTTCCTCCTTTTTTCTGGGAATAAAGGTATGTGCCACCACCACCTGGCCTATGTGTTCATTTTCATTGCTAGCTAGTGACCTTAATAAGTATGTTGCTGTACCTCCTTTGTACACTTCCTTTGCTCATAAAAAAGTGAGATTAGTATTACCCAAACACATGTGAACCTAGTTGGGAAACTCAGTTCTGAAGGACTCCTCAGACCTCCTCTAGTGGAGCAGCAAGACCCCAAACCATAGTCCTTTAGTGCCACTTAAAATTGCACAAAAGTGGACAAACATGTGGACAAGCAACCATCATGAGGACAGGTGTCATTTGATGTGTATGCCTTTGTGATGATCATGGACTGGGCCTGGTAGCACAGTCCTGCAATCCCAGGTGGTTAGGAGGCTGAGGCAAAAAGATTGTAAGTTTAAGGTCATCCTGGGTAACTTGCCAAGATCCTCTCAAAACAGAATGCAGAAGGGGGCTGGGCCAGGCATGATGGTACAAACCTTAAATCCCAGCAATAAGGAGGCAGAGAGGCAGAGAGGCAGAGAGGCAGAGGCAGACAGATCTCTGTGAATTCAAGGCCAGCCTGCTCTACAAAACAAGTTCCAGGACAGCCAAGGCTGCAAAGAGAAACAAACTAAAGGAATAGAGCATATACTTCGATGGCAGAGTATGTGTGATATTCATGTTCAATCTCCAATACTGTTTTTGTTGTTTTTTTTACGAGACAGGGTTTCACTGTGTAGTCCTGGTTGTCCTGGAACTTGCTTTGTAGACCAGGCTGGCTTTGAATTCACCAATATTGGACTGCCTTTGTCTTTGGAATTGTTGGGCACCACCACCTTCTGGCTTGTTGTTGTTTTTAAAACACATGTTGGAGTGCAAAGATATAGTATAATAACTGCTCATTGGGTTAAATTAATACTTTTTTTCATCATCAGTCACTATCTCAAATTATGTTCTTAAAAATGTATTCATTTATTTACGTATTTTTGGGATGGTTCTCAGTATGTGTCCTGGGCTGCCCGGAAACTCACCATAGATACCGGGATGGCCTGATAGTGATCTTCTTCCCTTTGTTTCCTGAGCCCTGGGATTACTAGCATAAACCACTGTGCCTGGCTTTTTTTTTTTTTAATTTGACTTTTGAGATAAGGTCATACTATGTATTTAAGTATGTTCTTAAACTTGTGAGCCTGTCTCAGTTTCCTGAGTAATGGAATTATAGGCATTCACTAAATATCTGGTCAAAATTCTGTTTTGATTTTTTGAAACATGGTTTCTCTGTGTAGCCCTGGTTGGCCTGGAACCTGCTCTATAGATCAGACTGGCCTGGAACTCATAGAGAATCACCTGCCTCTGCCTTCCAAAATCTCCTGTTCTTGATCATACTGTAACTACCATGAAAGGGAAAATAATTAGGACAATCATGTAGATTTCTAGAAATCAGGAGAAACTGCCAAATGGAAAAGTTCAGTAGGTGATAGCTGTTAACTTTGAACATAAAAGCTAGATTTCAACCAAAATGAAAACCAAGCACACCCAGTAGTAGAGATGCAACCAAAAAAAAAAGATGCTCATTATTTTATTTATTTATTTTAAATTTCCAACTACTTTTCTTATTTTGTTACTTGATGTGCGTGTTTCCTCAGGAGGCTAGAAGAGGACATTGGACCCCATGTGGTCGCTGGAATCTCACACAGATCTTAGGAAAGTGCAGTCAGGGTTCTTAACTACTGAGTAATCTCTCTAGACCCAATATTTTATTTACTTATTTATCTATCTATTCATTATGTTTTGGTTTTTTGAGTCAAGGTTTCTCAGTTAACAGCCCCAGCTGTCCTGCAACTCACTCTGTACACTACGCTGGCCTGGAACTCATTGAGATCCTCCTGCTTCTGCCTCCTGAGTGCTGGGACTAAAAGTGTGTTCAACTACCAACTGGCTGAAAACTCAGTTATTTAACTGACTAAAGACAATTGTTTCTCAAGAGTTTTCCTGGTATTGAGTGACTTCCACAGACATCCCACTAAAGCAGCATGTAGGAATATGACAACAAGAGGAGAAAAACCCATAAAAGAAGAAACATTTCCTGAGGAAATATAAAACTCAAAGGTCTCTTTTATCAGGTTCTGCCTACATTCTATAGTGCTATGCTCTGGTCTGTCCACCATGTTGTCCCTCTCTAAGGTTTGGAGGAGAAGACACACATTGCATCTCTATAAGGGAAAGAGTGTGTCACTTCATATAGCCGGAAGAAGGGAAAGGTGAATGAGTAGTTCACATTGTCATCAAATCAGCTCGTAGAAATTACATTGTGTGGGCCTGGCCATGGTGGCACATACCTTTAATCCCAGCACTTGGGAGGCAGAGGCAGGTGGATCTCTGTGAGTTCAAGACCAGCCTGGTCTACAAGAGCTAGTTCCAGGTCAGCTCCAAAGCCACAGAGAAACCCTGTCTCTGGAAAAAAAAAAAAAAGAAAAAAAGAAAAAAGAAATTACATTGTGCTTCCCCCCTTCCTGTAGAATGAAGATTCCAAGTCTGTTTCATGTTCTTTGTGTTGCTGGGGGATCCAGGACCAGGTACATTCTGGCTATAGCCCCAGCCCTATTACATATTTTTCATAGATAATAAGTTTCCTAGATTATGCTTTGTTGGGTAACAGCTCTCTTTTTCAGCCTGCTGCCTGTTCATTGTAGACTAATTTTTTTAAAGCTCTAGATCAAATCATGGCATTGACATTTCCTGTCATTGGTAACTTCTGCAGGCTTTTACAAATTATTATTAGATCTCTCCACACAGTCCTGACTGTCCTGGAACTCACAGAGATCATCCGGTTTCTGCCCCCCCAGTGCTTGGATTAAAGTGAGCCACTTTACACATATAATTTACTTATTTGTATTTTATATACATTGGTGTTTTGCCTGTATGTAGGTCTGTGTGAGTGTGTCAGAGTCCCCTAGAACTGGAGTTACAAACAGTTGTGAGCTTCTCGGAATTGAGCCCGGGTCCTCTGGAAGAGTAGCCAGTGCTCTTAACCGCTGAGCCATCCATCCAGCCCCTGTAACCTTTTTCTATCAAGGAAGCAGACCCTGAAAGATTAGAGTTGAGAAGAAGTTGCCTCACTTGCCCTTCCAATACTGGGAATGAGCACAAGGCTGGAAACAATATTCATTAGACTCTGAATGCTTCTTCTTTTTTTTTTTTTTTTTTTTTTTTTTTTTTGTTTTTTCGAGACAGGGTTTCTCTGTGGCTTCGGAGGCTGTCCTGGAACTTATTGTGTGAACCAGGCTGGTCTCGAGCTCACAGAGATCCGCCTGTCTCTGCCTCCCGAGAGCTGCAATTAAAGGCATGTACCACCACCACCCGGAGCTTTTCAATCTTTGGCTAAGGTCATCTATGTAATGACAAAGTACGCCTGCACTTTTGGCAGCACGTAGCGTTCTTATTGGAGCCAGTCCCAACTCCATTACAACTGTTTCTGTATCAGTTATTCTGTGGCGCCGGAGCCATAGCCCAAAGAACAGAGACTAACAGATGGTGCCGCGGTCTGGATCAGTGTCATTTCGCACTCTGGAAGTACTTAAGTCCTTCCCTCCCTCAGCCCGGCCAGGTGCTACCTCGACTTGGAGAAACTGTAGTAACGCGTCTGTGGGTTGGCCATGACTCTGGAGGAGAAGCAAGCTAGCTCCGTTGCGGTAGTGTACAGTCCGTTGCCATGGAGACCAGCCCCCAGTGGGCTCCGCGGTGAGGGCGGGGTCACGACCTCGAAACGCCTCCAGCCCGCCCACGAGCACTCTGGAGAAAAGGCTAAGTAGTAAAGGTAGGCTCGGACGCCGGGACAGGGTGTTCTGAGAACCAGTCAGTGCACCAAGTTTGATATCAGCTACAGAACTGAGGCAGGAGAATAAACTGAGACCGTGGACGAGGGAGGTGAGCTTCGAGGCCTGGCCACTTGGCTGCCTGGGAATGGTAGTTTCCATTGTCTCTTAGTCTCCGTTGTACAGGCTTATGGGTGAACAGGTCTGTACTACATCTCCCGAAGTTCTCCAGGAGCCCGCGTTGGCCGGCCTCTACAGCGCTCTGTCTTGTGGGATATGTAGTTTGATATCTGGCGAAGTGTAGTAGTGTCCAAAGAAAGCTTCTCGAACTTAGACTCAGTTTCCCTACGGCCCCGGGATACTCACAGGCCATTGGCTGAGCAAAGCAGATCTGATTGCACTCCTCCCCGCCCCCAGTGACACAATAGCAGCTCCCTCCAAGATGGCGGCGGCGACTGCAGACCCGGGAGCTGGGAACCCGCAGGCTGGGGACTCCTCTGGTGGGGACGCCGGGGGTGGGCTACTGTCACCCGGGGAGCAGGAACTGAGCCGGCGCCTGCAGCGCTTGTACCCTGCAGTTAATCAGCACGAAACGCCGCTGCCGCGATCTTGGAGCCCCAAGGACAAGTACAACTATATCGGCCTCTCCCAGGGAAACCTCCGTGTCCACTACAAAGGTATCAGTGGGTCTGGCCGCTGGGAGACAGGTCTAGAGTGTCTGCAGGGAGGCTGTACCCATCATGTCCCTTTCTTTGCCTGGGTCAGAGCTCTGAGTTAGGCCTTAGCCCAGCGGAATGTCCAGAGTAGAGGGATTGGCCAGGCCGGGGTTTACCTGCTTCCTCTGCTCTTTTCCTGAAACAGCCGACTTAAAGAGAACCACAGTAAATGTCCAAAACCAGTGTTGGACAAGCCTTCCACTTTAGGGCCTTCCTTCTTGTCCTGAGCTGGCTCCGATCTCAGCTAGGCCCTTTTCTACGGCTTAGTTCCAGTAATGTTTGCAAAAAGAGGTGGTAACATTCTCACAGGCGGTGCAAGGGCTGACTGGCCTAGGGGTTGTGTGCTAAAGTTGTTGGTAGTGGTGACTTCCATTTCTGCCACTTCCTTCCCCTGGGCTCCAGGCCGGGCCGTTTGGATTCTAGAAAGACAGACAACAGTATTCCGTGTGTCACATGCACCTCTATTGCCTATATATACCCTTGTTTTGTTATGGAGGACAGTATCTTGGTCAGGACTTTTGGTTGGTCTGGGGTGGAGGTGATCTAAAGGTGGGAGGCTTATGTGTTTACTCAATTCCTTGGACAGTAAAAGAACTTCTGGCAAAGGAGAGTTGAAATTATCATGCATAGAGAAAAAGGAGACTTCCATTTGCATTTTCTGGTGTTGACATTCCTTCTTTGCCTTTTTACATCAGGTCATGGCAAAAATCACAAAGATGCAGCCTCTGTGCGCGCCACTCACCCCATCCCTGCTGCCTGTGGTATTTACTATTTTGAAGTGAAAATTGTCAGCAAAGGAAGAGATGGGTAAGGCCTTCTTTACTATCCCTTTCCCCCTCAACACAGAACTAGTGTTTCCTCTTGTCAGAGTTTCAAGTTCCTGACTGGTATTAGTGACTGATATTAGCCTGCTGATCCACTTGGATCTGGGCTACCTCTCTCTTGACTATGAACATTGTCTGGTTGGTCTAAACAGTGGGTCTTGATAGCAGTAGGCACACTGTAGGTAGAGCAGAGGATTTTTTTTTTTTTTTAAGTATTGTAATTAGATAGTAAACAGATCAGGGATATAAGTAACAAGTTTACATTAACAATTCAGAGGCCAAATGGGGTTTCCCTTGCTAGCAGGTGGTGTTTGTGACTTCCCTCCTTTCGAAGTTGAGGTTCCCTTTTATGGCATTTAGTCATGTAGGGGCCTCAGTAAACTTCAAAAGGATAGTAGAGTCTGTGTAGCATTCATCAAAGCTGTGGTGGCCACTGTCATCTGGATAAACAGTGTACATATGGTCAGAGTCAGGTGACCTTGCTGCTCATAAATTTGTTTTTCAGTTCAGGGACTTCAACACCAGTTGGACCAGATTTGGGAAGGTCTCATTAAGGTCAGCATTAGGGAGACTCCCTATTTTAGGGTGACACAAGGCATCACAGGGGACATTTTTCCTTGTCTTCTTCCTTATTCTCCCAGTCTGGGCTTCTTTTCTGCCCAGTAATTGGAGCAAAACAGGTGACCAAGCTATGAGACAATGTGAGTATAACTATCTTGGGACAAGCTTCTTCATCAGATCTTAGGTTTGTTATGAGAAATGTGCAAACCCTGCCAGTGACATTCATGTGGATCTGAGTTTGTGTTTTTTAGCATTCAGGATAATTTTTCTCTCTTAACTGTTTCACTTGTGTTGTGTGAGAAATGCCAGGTTTAGCCAGGTGGTGGTGGTGGCCCATGCCTTTAATCCCAGCGCTCAGGAGGCAGAGGCAGGCGGATCTCTGTGAGTTTGAGGCCAGCTTGGTCTAAAGAGTGAGCTCCTGTTGGACCACGACTGTGTAGTCAGACCCTGTCTTAAAACAAAAAACAAAAAAAGAAGCTTAGTCTAGGCAGGACTGTTAGAATCAGAACCTCCCTGCTTTCTCAGTGACTGTGTGACTTCCCAGCCAAGGAGGATCCTGTGGGATTGGGTAGATCTTTTTTTTTTTTTTTTTTTTTTTTGGTTTTGTATTTGAAGACAGGGTTTCTCTGTGTATCTTTGGAGCCTGTCCTGGCACTCACTCTGTAGACCAGGCTGGCCTGGAACTCACAAAGATCCGTCTGCCTCCGCCTCCCAAGTGCTGGGATTAAAGGTGCGAACTACCAATGCCCAGCCTAGGGTTTGGGTAAAGCTTGAGGCCTGTCTCTTCGTCGTCTCTCTGGGGAGTTCAGTCAGTATCTGAACTGCCTTAAACTTTAAAATTCAGTGACTTTAGAATTTTAATCATGGGAAGTCATTGCTTTTTTTTGGAGACAGGGTTTCTCGGTGTAGCTGCTTTGGAACCTGTCCTAGAACTCTCTCTGTAGATTAGGCTGGCTTCAAGCCCACAGAGATCTGCCTGCCTCTGCCTCCTGAGCGCTGGGATTAAAGGCATGCACCACCATCACTTAGCAAGTTGTTGCATCTTTAACTTCCATTTTCATCTGCTTCATTTGCAGATAAGGAAACTTACTTTTACTGGAAGACCTAAAACTTTTTAATATTTCTTCCCACCATCTGATAAAAGACATCTAATGTGTTTTAACCAGTGTCAATGAGAATGACCTCTTAAAACAAACACCTCAAAAACAGTTACAGTGTTGACTAAGATTCGGGTGTTCGACTCTGATATTGCCAAGGAGACTGCGGAGGGTATTTCTTAAACTTGTAGGGAGGAAAATGTGTCTCTTCTCTGTAGCCCTTTTTCATAGATAAGGGCTGAGCTAGTGAAAAACAAGAACAGCTTTTCAGGAGGGGAGTGTTTAAACTTAGAGATCTGGATTCCTTCAACTGGCTTTTCAGATTTCTGTGGTGCTGTGTTATACTGTATGACTGTGGTGTTGTATACGGGTCTAAAAAAAGTGAAAGCCAGGCGTGGTGGTGCATGCACCTACCAAAACACATGCACACACATAGGCATGTAACCAAAAATAAAATCACTTAAAAATTTTTTCTATACAACCAGGTAAAACTAGCTTAGTGTTTTCTATAAAATATTATGCAAGCAAGGCACTTCTGGTGAACCATGACAACAACAAAAAAATGGATTCATAAATACCTTAGGAACATACAACTCTACAGAAAAACAGGACTTATTTTTTCAGGACTCTGGAGGCTGAGGCAGGTGGATCTCTCTAAATTTAAAGCCAGGCTGGTCTACATGGCAAGTCCTAGACCCACCAGGGCTGCTGATCTCGTCTCAGCAAAATGAACAGTATCTTTCTTTGTCTTCTTTCCCCAGCATTGTTTTCCTTTTTAAATAACAAAGTTTCCTGTATCCCAGGCTGGCTTATAACTTCTTGGCATAGCCAAAGGATGATCTTGAACTCATGATCCTCACGCCATTACTTCCCCAATGCTAGGATTACAGATATATGCTACCTTATCTGGTTTATATAGTGTTCGGAATTGAACCCAGGGCTTTGTACATACTAGGAGGCACTCTGTCAACCGAGTCATATTCCTGTGCCCTATTCTGTGTTTTACATATGGTAAATACAGTTGTTGAGTTGGTCTGAAAGCCTCAATTTTATAAAGGTCATGTATATCTGTAGAGGCTTGCTTTAGTTGACAAATAGCTAAAGAAGTAAGATGGTGAGTGAGTATGTGACTGGCTCTCCACAGTCACTTTCCGCAATCCCTGAAAGGCTTCTTATGGCTGAGATGTAGCCAGTTTTTGGTATGAGCCATACACTTTAGTTCAGGGCTGTTTTTTGAGGAAGCCAACAGAAGTTGTAGAACAGGCAGACAATGACTCTTCTCCATCAGTGTGGAGATACATTTGTGACCCAGGTCTTGTTGATGGCCCAAGCACTAACTGTAGCTATTGATTTTGTAGTCTTCCTGTGTTGTCTCATATGAGCTTCATAGCATCTTTAGAAAATGACTGGAGCAAATGATGATAGACTTGTTTTGTGGGTGAGTCCCTGAGATGTTTGGTGTCCTGCCCTGGCTGCAGGGCTTAAGATGTGCAATAGAATAGCCTAACCTGTCAGATGTCCTTGCCTGATCCCAGACACGTGTCTGAGCTGCTGCTGACTTCCCATTATGACTGCTGCTGCATTCTTTCTCTGGGCTAGCGTGAAGGAACATCTTGTTGGATCCTTACAGGATCACAATGTCAGGGGACAGGGCTGACATGTTTAGTGCTAACTGAAGCTAAAGAAGCAGGGCATGCTGTGTGCTGGCCTTGACTGACTTATTTTTCCATTGACTCTAGTCCTGTTTTTCTGTAGAGTTGTGTGTTCCTAAGGTATTTATGAATCCATTTTTTTTTGTTGTTGTTGTCATGGTTCATCAGAAGTGCCTTGTTTGCATAATATTTTATAGAAAACACTAAGCTAGTCTGATTTGGTTGTATAGAAAGTTTTTTTTTAAGTGATTTTATTTTTGGTTACATGCATATGTGTGTGCATGTGTTTTGGTATGTGCATGTGGTCACAGTATTTGAGGTAGCCAGAATATGACAGATTCCCCTGGACCTGTAATTAACAGGTAGCTGTAACCTGCCTGACATGGATGCTGGGAATCGAACTCTTGTTCCCCTGGAAGACCTTCCATGCTTTTATCAGCTGAGCTCTTTTTCTAGCCCCTCACAGAAGGGTTTTGTTTCTTTGCTTTGGGTGGTGACTCTTGAGACAGTTTTGCTTTGTACCTCAGTCTCAAACAAATGTCAGTCTTGCTGCCTAAAACTCCCAAGTGCCACAAGAAACATTTATTTCAAGGGTTTATAGTCTTTCATTCTCTCTCTCTCTCTCTCTCTCTCTCTCTCTCTCTCTCTCTCTTTTCTTTTCTCTTCTTTTCTTTTCATCCTGATGTGCCTGATACAAGAGAACAGAAGCAAAGAGAGCAATAGATCAGCCTTGTCCTCAGGGAGCCTGTGGCCTACCTAGTAGAGAGTGGGACTGAGAAGAGCCCTTCATAAGAGGAGGCAAATTGGAGGGTGGGTGGTGGTGCATGCCTTAATCCCAGCATTCGGGAGGCAGAGACTGGAGGTTCTCAGTGAGTTCAAGGTCAGCTTGGTCTACAGAATGAGTTCCAGGACTGCTAGGGCTGTTACACAGAGAAACCCTGTCTCGAAAAAAGAAAAAAAAAGAGAGAGAGCGAGGAGTATTGGGTATTGCAGTGAGGGATAAGTTGGTGTTCCCAGGAGGCACTACCAGTGGATCTATAAGTCTTATGGGTAATTAGCTCCATGCCAAGGTGTGGGGCTTTTTGGATTCTTCCTATTTAGGAAGGAGGGCTGTGTAGAAGGAGCTAAGAGGTTGGCATAGACTGATTGGCTTCTGCTGGATTTTGCCAAGTCATCAGCTATGAACCTTGGGAGCGGGTCTGATAGGGAGAGATGTCTCAAGTCGTCAGGGGTGCCCCTAGGAGATAAGGGACATCTGGGTTGATCTTTCCAGAAAGTTAAGTAGGCAGACTTTATGGACCTGTGGGTGTCCCCAGCTTTTAGTGATGACACATGGAGGGTGTGGCTGTCCTGGCTAACAGATGCTTCAGTGTGACCCTCAAAATAGACTGTAACATCATCCTAGTGTCGGAGGCCTCCTGACATGTGATGGGTGGCTCTACCCAAGAACGGCAAACTTAGGCTAGAGCACTAGGTAGTATAGGGAGAGGTGGAGTTCTTTTCAGCTAGGGATCTTTGGTTACAGTCAACTAACTCTTACTTGCTTGGTGACGAAGTGGTATACCTACCCATTCATGCCACACACCAGGGTGAACATTGATTGTTTTGTCCTAGGTGTGAGCTCCAGGAGCACAGACATGAGGCCTATCTAGAGTCAAGAGAGATACACCCCT